AATGGTGCTAGAAGAACTGGCTTTCCACATGCCAAAGACTAAAACTAGACCCATGTCTTTCACTATGCACTAAATTAAAGTCAAAAATGGATCAAAGATCTAAATATTAAAACAGAAACACTAAACGTATTGGGAGAGAAAGTAGGCAAAAATCTTGATGACACTGGGGTAGGCAGAGAGTTCATGAAGAAAAACCAAACTGCACAGGAAATACTTCAACAAACCAACAACTGGGATCTCATCTTATTGAAAAGTTTTTGCACATCTAAAGAAATCACCAATAAAGTAAAAAGAAAACCAACGAATGAGCAAAAAATATTAGCCAACTGCCCCTCAGACAAAGGACTTCTATCTAGGACATATAAAGAATTAAAAAAAATCAGGTCTCCCAAATTCAAAGACCCAGTCCAAAAATGGGCAGCTGAGATGAATACACACTTCTTTAATGAAGAGATACTAATGGCAAATAAATACATGAAAAAATGTTCAACATCATTAGTCATTTAAGAAATGCAAATTAAAACAACACTGAGATTCCATCTCACCCCAGAAAGAATGGCTATCATCAAGAAATCAACCAATAACAAATGCTGGAGGGACTGTGGGGAGAAAGGAACCCTACTCCACTGCTGGTGGGAGTGTAGATTGGTGAAACCACTGTGGAAATCAATTTGGAGATTCCTCACAAAACTAGGATTGGAAGTCCCCTTTAACCCAGGTATTCCGCTTCTGGGTATTTTCCCAGAAGAGTTAAAGACATCATACCACAGCAATATATGTGCACCCATGTTGATAGCCGCACAATTTGTTATAGCTAAATCTTGGAAACAACCCAGATGCCCATCCACTGAGGAATGGATAACAAAGTTGTGGTATTTTTATACAATGGAGTATTACTCAGCTATTAAAAAATATAAACTGGAGGCTTTTGTAGGTAAGTGGATGCAACTAGAGACCATACTCATAAGTGAAATAAATCGGACCTGCATGTGTAAACATCATATTGTCTCCTTGGTGTAGGAACCTGAAAGACTAGGTAAAAATCAAAACGTACAATAGATGATAGGAAAGAGAAAGAAATTGATCAAAGGAAGAAATGACTGGAATGAGGGAAAGAAGAAAAAAGAAAGAAGGAAGGCAGAACATAAATAAATGTATGAATAGCTGTGATGACTGTATTGCTGTTGTCTGATGGTGTATTGCAATGAACAGTTAATGCTCACAATTTGTTATGTTCTGATCAACTTTGCATGCTTGTGTCTGGTGGTCTGAGCAACTGATTTGAAGGTAACAATATGCACTGGAATTACAATGGTGAACTCCTACCATCTTGTCTAATGAAACTCTCTAATATATCTAATGTTTTATTGAAGAATTATTTTCTTAATCTCTTTAATGGTTTGAGCAATCTTTCATTCTTACATCTGATAATCTGAGCAATGTAGTTGAGGATATCAGTATACAGTGTAACAACCATTGTTGATTTGTATTAATTTGTCTTGAGATCATGTATCACTTTGAATGGAAGGAAGGAAGGAAGGAAAGAAGGAAGGAAGGAAGGAAGGAAGGAAGAAAGGAAGGAAGGAAGGAAAACAGGCAAGCTGATTCTGAATTTACATGGAAATTTGAAAGGTCAAACAACTTTGGATATGTACAAAGTTGGAAACCTATCGCTTCCAGCTTTCAAGGCTAACTATAAAGCTTCAGAAATCAAGATAGTGGGATACTGACCTAAAGAAATTCCTATTTAAGTGGGACCCACTGATTCATTCAGAAAATCAAAAAAGTCAGGTTTGGTTTGGTTTTGTTCTGTTCTGTTCTGTTTTGCTTCATTTTGTCTCCTGGCCCAACCCAGTTTTCCAAAGAGTCTCCTTTCCTCTCTAGACTAGGAGGAGGCAAAAGTCTCCACGCCACTGTCCTGGGATCCAAGCCAGAGAGGAGCACTTAGCCTCCGTCTGTACTCTGTGTCATAGCCTCCTTAGTGCCTCTGAGATCCAGGTGTCTGATTTGGCTTCTTCACACCCTTTTCCTGTCAGATGGGCTAGGAAAGGTCTCCACTGCATTCGGGAAGGGATCTGAAAGTTTAGCTGCTCCTTACGCAGATTTTCAACTCATCTTCCTGTCTTCCTCCCACCACCCCTCCTGCGTGCCTGCAGTTGGGCCCCTGAGGGCCACATCACACTGGCCTGTTTCTCCCGAGCCTTCTCTCTGTAAGCTCCCAGTCTCTATTCTGCAGGGTCAGATTAGCTCTTCAAAAGATTTGCTTCATCTTGTGCCACTGTCACCCCTACTCCTTTCTCTGTGTCCCAGAAAATTTGTACATTTTAATTCCGTTGCAAACATCTCATGGTGGTTGTGGAAGGAAGGAGAAAAATAGCATGTGTTTAACCCACTATATTTTACCTGAAGCCAATTAACTTTTGTAATCCTGTTCATCCACACATAAAATGTGGATAAAGGCATCTTCCTTCCAAGGCCATTATGAGCACCTCATTATAATTATAGACCTGGGTACAGTGCTCCGAACCAAGTAGATACACAATAAATATTGTCCCTTGCCCCTCTTTCCCCCACAATTACATCAGACACAAACAACAGGCTGGTCACAGCCTTAACCCGGACTCTAGCCACTTTCTGTGGTGTCTTCACTGTCACCCGTTGCCTACCGCTCACTCCTTGTCCTCAGCAGCTCTGCCATGTACCCAGCACAGGGAAGCACGCAAAAGACTTGAGGCTGTAGCCTCTTCCTCCATTTGCTCTCAATTTGTAGAGTGTCCTCTCCTTTACCTTTTGAGGGAGCTACTCCTTCCAGGATCCCTCAGGGGGTACGTTTGCAAATTCATGGGATTCAGTTGAGGAAAGACAAAGCTGTCTGCTCACAAAGAGTTTTTACTGTGTGCCCTTTACAGAAGAGGGGATGGAGACTCATGCAGGGTAGTTAACTACCCCACCCTGTAGGCCATAGAACCTAACTAGAGCTACCATTCAAGCCTGTCTTCAGAGTCTGTGCTTATAACCACTGTGCTTCATGGCCCGGTGGCTCCAGGGCCAGCACCTAGATGCGAAGAAATGTGGAGTGGCACAGACAGCCCCAACACTTGCAATGGCCCTCGTGCCCTTTGGAGCAACGCACAGCACCCAAAGATTGAGGGCGAGAGGTGACCTGAGGGTCCAGAGGGTCCCCAGCTGGAGTCAGTGAGGAAGTCAGTAGGCATCTTTGAGAGTCCCTTCCAGCAAGAGGACATTGCAGGGTGGTGGGAAATGCCTGCCCTTACCTAGTTAATGGAGCCTGTGACAATTTCCCTTTGGTGAGCTGGTGTGGAGTGTACTCAGGTTCCTTAGAGGGTATTTGACACAGCTCTCATGCATGGGCAGAACCAAGGGCCCCGCATAGGGGCCATCCCCCTTGACACCATGTTTCTGACCCCACAGCCCTGGCTTTTTCTGACCTCAGGCTGAGGTGAGCTTGTACTGCAGGGTGGTGCCCCAGGAAGCCTTCAGTGACAAGGACACTTCTTAAAAGGTCTGGGGCCTACATGGCAGCAGGAGGTCAGGTCTAGGAGCCTATGAAGGTCCAGTGGATGCTCTGGCCCCTAGGTAGAGGACCAGACCCCCGAGCTTACAGATCTGACCTCAGCTGGGTAAGGAACAGGTTCTGGAGTAAGGAGACTTGGGTCTGAGTCATGGTCCCTGGGACAGATCACTTCCCTTCATCCTCCCCCTGCTCTGTCTCTTCCTCTGCAAAATGAAAATAGGGATCTACCCCTCTTCTCTCCCAGAGTTGCTCTAAAATTAAGAAGGGAACAACATCAAAGTGTCCTACAACAGCAAAGCTCTGTCCTCTCCCCTTCCTACCCTAGAGGTCCTGAGCCGCACCCCATTTTCCATGGCTGCCAGGCCTAGGCTAGGGCTCCCAGCTGACACTAATCTCTGCACAAGGCTAAGGGCACAATCTGGTGCTGCAGAGGTATGAGATGCCCAAACCCAGGGATGAGCACTGATTGGCAGAGCTGGGTGTGGGTCCTTTAGCCCCCTGTGTGCACAGAGCACATAGGAAGTTGCTATGGTTGATACATTGTGTCAACTTGGGGAGTCTAGAGGTTTGGCTAAGTGACTCAGCAGGAAGCCAGGGTGCTTACTTTGTATACATCCTGAGCCGGTGGAAGAGGAGGGCATGGAAATTTTGTGAGAGCTACATGCCCCTTAGATGCGGGTAGACTGTTTACAATGTAAGGCAGGGAAAGAAGCTGTTTGGGGCCATTCTGCCATTTGCTCTGGCTGCTTTGCTGTTTGGCTGCCATTCCCCCCTTTGCTCTTGTTGCTTTGCTATCTTCTGCCTTGGAGCCAGCCAAGTCTGGACTGAAACTTCCACAAACTGTAAGCTAAATAAACCTTTCGTTCCTTCATTTTGGGCATTGGGTATTTTGTCTCAGCAATGAGAGAAAAGTAACCAAGACAGAAGTACAACCAGAGACCCAACTCCTGGGCTCAAGTGTGGTGCAAATGGCAGTGTTCTGGGGATTTGGTAGGGAGATTCTTTTCATTGGATGGAGCCTTTCTTTCTTGAGTGTTCCAGAGGCACCAGCCCTTGACCTAAGGAATCTGCTCAGAACGGTGAAGGGAAAATGAAGGGACCAAAACATGGGCTTCCTTTGCGAGGTCTGTAACCCATCTGATCTCTCTGGAGAGATCCCCAAGTCCATTCCCCCACTTCAGAACCTCATTTAATCCACCGGATAAGGTGTAGACACTGTGATTGTTTCCATTTTCCAAGTGAAAAACTGAGTTTCTGAGCGCCTTGGTGCCACCCTCATTCAAGGTCACCAGGGAAGAACAGAACCAGACAGAATCCCTCCCAGATTGGGTCCCCAAGCTTCTGCTCTTTCCCAGGGCTCCTACTGGCATCACAGCTGCCCTGGGCTACTGCCTCCCTGCAAGCCCTCCCCCCTGCGGTCCACCAGGCTTCAGGAGGGAAAGACCATGGCAACACGGGTCCATACCCCTGGGGACAGGCACAGCCTGACAGGCAGGGGCCGCGGGCTGTCACACTCAGATTCAGCAGCTGCTGCTCACACGTCCTCTCCCGGCTCAGCTCAGGGTCTGCACGCAGGTCACTGCAGTTCACGAAGACCTGGCCCACCGGGCAGGCTGCCGCTGAAAGAAAAGAGGGGGTTGCTGTAGCCCTGAGCCTGGGTGAGCAGGTAGGCATGGAAGAGACAAGGAGAGGTGGGCTGCTCCTGGGGCGTTACTTGGGTTCTCATACAAGTGTCACAGGGGGAAGGAGGGACACTACCAGGGCCCACTACTGAAAATGTCCTCCATACCAGATGCAGCACTAGGTGCCGCCTGGGTGTTGTCTTACTTAATTCTGAAACCATGTTGTGGGGTTTATTATCCCCCGCCTTCCCATATAATGGAGCAAAGCCACTTCTGTTTTCAAAAGGTGTCATGGAGCAAGAGGAAGGACCCCAGAGGGACCAAGAGAGAAGCCAGAAAGAGAACAGCCAAGCAGCATGGCAGAGTGGCCAGAAGACTTTAACAACATGGGGTCAATTTCCTGTCACCCGTATTTTCGTGACATACACCCATTTTTTTCTCTCTCTCTCTCTCTCT